CCCCCCCCCCCCAGCAGTGCCTTTCTCTTGGGGGGGGGTGCTGTGAGGGGATCCTCCCCCCGGAAAAGCGCGAAGCTGTGGCTGTGGTCCCGTTGGGGACACCCCTGTCCACCCAGTCCGTCTCATCCTCGGAGCCATTTAGGGACTCCTCCCCCCCCGCTTCGTTTTAGAATGATTTGGGGACTCCCCGACTTCAAACAGTTGGGGCACTCCCTTAGCAATTGGGACCCCTTCCTCTTAGCAGTGTCTCCTCCCCCCCCCCAGCAACTCGGGGACCCCCCGAAACGGTTGGGACCCTCAGCAACTCTGACACCCCTCCCCCACTAAGCGATATGGGGAACCCCCCGAGCAATTGGGACCCTCCAGCAACTGTCTGTCCCCGCAGCCACTCAGGACCTGCAGTAATTAGCCTTCCCCATAGTGCCTGGATCCTCCTCCCGGTCCCACTTTGTTTCCCGGGAGCGGGGGGGACGACCCCCCCCGGGTGCACGCTGCTCCAACCCCACGCAAACAGCCCCTGTGTTCGGGCATTCCTAATTCATGCCGCCTTTGTTGTTTTCCCTTTCTTTTCCCCTCCTGCCAGTACTACGAAATGTCCTACGGGCTGAACATCGAGATGCACAAACAGGTGAGCGCCGGTGGGGGGGCTGCTTGTGCTGCTTGTGGGTGACAGAACGGGCCCTGCTGGCAGCAGTGGGTCGGCAGCGGTGCGAGGTTGCATTTGGGGCGACGGCATCCGCGTGGGGATCTGCGTGCGTTGGGAAGCAGGCTGCGTTTTGCAAGGAGCGTTGCGGGGAAGCGACCGTGCAGAGGAGATGCGTGCAGCCGGGGCTCTGCGTGCACATCCCGGTGCTGCTGCTCCGAGGTTGCAGCCCTGCTCTGAGCTGCAGGGCGCACCCAGGGCGGTGCATCACTCGGTGCCGGGGGAAGCGAGCGATGTTTGGTGCTGTGTCGGTGGATTTTTGGGTTCTCCTCTCGTACCGTTTGCCCCACGGGGAAAGCAGCGCGGGGTGCGATGTGCGGCGTGCTGCCTTGATAAGATTACAGCTAAAGAGCCTCGGGGCCGTGGGCACACGATGGTAAAACTTAAAGGAATAAAGTTGTTATTGCAATGAGAGCCGATTACCGGCGCTGCCGCTGGCGGGCGGACGCGGTTCTGGTGCTGCACTCAGGGCAGGGCTGGGCAGCAGTGCAGGCACGGCAGCAGTGCAGCTCCGCAGCGCTCTGCTCGGCAGCAGCACCGGAGCAGCGTTGGCGAAGGCTGAGCTGTGCACGGCTGTGCTCCCTGCTGCAAAAGGGCAACGGCCACGACCGCCGCTCAGGTGGTGTTGGCTCAGGGTTGCTTTTTGTTAGTTAATTAATTTATTTGGTGTTTTTTTTTTCTTTATTAAATATTGCCTTCCTTGCGGCTGATCCCAGTAGGTGTGCGCCCAGCCCCTGCCGTGCTCTGTTTCGGGTTGCGTGCTCTTTCCTGGCTGCGTTGGCTTCGCCCTGTGCGAGCGCACGGAGGTGTTGAAATGGAGCACGAAAAAAGGCAGGGAAGCACGGAGCTTTTCTGCCGATGGCAGCGCTGGAAGCGGTTGTTATTTCCCGGGTGTTTTGCACCGGGGGTTGCTTGCATGCGAGAGCTGATTGGGGTGGGGGGTTTGCATGGCCGGGTTGGGCTGCTCCGCTGCCTCCGTGCTGCAGCATCACTGTGTGCCCTAATGGTGCCGGGGGGAACCCAGTGGCGAAGTGGGGGTGGGGGCTCAGCACCGGAGCACCCCCCGGTTCCGCCCCCCTTGCAGGGACCCCCAGCAGCCCCATGGCTGCGCTGCCCCCAGCCCCGGCTGACCCGCTTAGCGGTTGACTTGTGTTTATCTGCACACAATCAAGTAGACTGAAGTGCCTGAATTATTCATGCGGTGTCCTGCCCTCCAGACTTGACTGCGTGTGATTACATCTGCTCGAGACAAACATTGATGGATACTTCATCTTTAAGCAAAAGGGGATTGTCTGGCTGGGGGCTTATATAACAGATTATCTCTTCGGCGCTGAATATTAAGCGCTTCGTCCTCGCCCCGGCTGCGGTGGTGGCTTTTTTTTTCCTTTCTGCTCCGTTTCGTGCCTTTCCAAGGGAGAAAAAAGAATAATAATAATAATAATGGGACTTCCATGAACAACTCCGTATGTGGGGAATAGTCGGGAAGTGACGGCGGTGCGGCGCTGCTGGGGGGCTCTGCTCGGTGCTCTTTGAGCAGCAGAGCTCCGTTGGGTTCCTCGATGCCCCCCGAGGGACCCCTCGTTCCGGAGCTCTGCGATCAGAGGGCACAGTGCTTCCTAAAGAGCAGCGTGTGCTGGGAAGGGGAGCTGCTGGCAGCGTGTTGGAGTGCTGTGTTTTGGGGCTGAGCCCTCTCGGTGCTTCGGAGCATCCCCGAGCCACGCTTCCCCGAGAGCAGAGCCTTGCTTTCTCCTATGGAATATTCCAAGAGCCCCGTGCGCCCTGCGTTGGGAGCAGCGGATGGAGCTGGTAGGGTGGGCCGCGGTGCTGGGGGGGCTCTGCCCTCCGCACCCCCTCCCCGAATTTAATTCTCATCAGCGCTGCTCTCCACTTTGCTAATAACGATAGCAGCCACAAATAGCTTTCAACATGCCATTGACAGCCCGGTTGGAGAGAGCACTTGAAATAGTGGTAGACAGCTGAAAGTGCCCATAATTGTGTGCCGGAGTGAGAACCACGCTGCTCAAGGGCCTGATTTCCATGTGCTTACGGAGACAATCTCCCGGCTTCAGCAGACGCTGCTGGTGCTGTGCGGGGGGTGGGGCTGAGCCCGTCCTTCTGCCCTGTGCGGTGTGTGGGGCAGGGCATCTTCCTGGGGAGCTGGGTGGGTTTGGGGTGAGGGTGATGCTGGGCTCCCCCAGGAGCGTTGGTGGGTGGTTGTTCTTTGCCTGGGAGCTGCAGTGGAGTGTGAGGTGCTATCTGTCCTACTGTGCTGGGGTTTGGGATGGCAGTGAAAAACCTAAATCGTGCTTTTAGAGAAGGGCTGGGCCAGCTGTGCCATGCGCCCGGCCTCGTGGCTCCGCTGTTGTCCCCACCTGATGCTGGGATTGCTTGAGATTTGTTCTGATGTGACCCCAAAATCCTTTCTCAGATGGCGCTGGGGGTGGCTCGCTCCTTGGGGCGTCCCGTTTCCACTCGGACCTTTGGGCAGCTCCTCTCTGCCCCACTCCCTGTGCCCTATGGCGTTACTTAACTTCCCTGTGCCCTGCCCGTGTGGGGGGGGGGGGTGGAGGGGCACAGCTATTTAGCACCGTGCCTGCAGCCGGCGCCTGCCCGCTCTCTGCCCTCAGGGCATGGGGTCGGTGCTTGATTTACAGCCGGCATTCATGTGTGCTCTGTTGTGCCAGCCGGCCGCGCTCCCTGCAGCGAGGCACAGCCCTGGCAGGGATGGGATGGGGATTAGTCTGGATTTCGGGTCCGACTCCTCGCCCTTGCCTTGGGCTGCCTTGTGCGTCCCAGCCTGCGTATGTCCCTGAGGTCCTTGGAGCATCCTGCTGAGTGCCCCCTCCCTGCCCCCTCCCTGGGTACGGTCCCTGCTCTCCCCCACGGCTGCGGGTGCAGCAGGCGGTGCGTGCTGCCAAGGCAGGGATGCGGGATGCGGTGCCTGCGGTTGCCATAGCAACCCCGTGCTGGGAATGGGGAATTTTCATGGCTGGAGCTGCCCGGTGGTGAATGGGCCCTGGCGCAGGGCAGTGCTGGGGGTGAAACCCTCCCCAGCTCCAGGGTTGCCCTTTCTGCCACCAATTAAACGTCTCATGGAGATAAGTGGGGCTTCACGTGTGCAGAGTGGGTATTTGGAGGTTATTGGATCTCATGTGAACAGGGAAATCCATGGCTGTAAGCATCATATCTTAGCCAGAAGCACCCACTTGCTTCTTGGATTCCCTGTGGAAAGTGTCTTTGCAGAACGTGAAGCTTTGCTCCAAATCTTGGCTGGAAATTGGGTTAAAATGGAATAAGAGGGCAGAGGGAGCTCCTGGTGCGGTTTGCTGGGGTGGGGGTGGGTTGGTAGTACCCAGAGAGCACCCAACGCCTCCTCCCCCACCTCTGCATCGTGCTGGGTGTGGGGTTCTTCCATTTGCACCCAAGTGGCTGTAGCTAAAGGTTGGGTTTGTTCTGGAGCTCACCAGCACGAAGCCCTCAGCAGCTGCTCCCTGGGAGTGGTACAGGAGGAGCTGTGCAGCACTGAGTGCTCACTGCATCCCGACCCGCCGGGCATCAGCAGAAGCTGTAAATATTTAATGGAGGCACAATTTATATATGATCTGATCGATGTATGGATGCCAAAGCAGCCATTAAGGTGTCCCTATGGCAGAGCGGGCACTGGTGGGGGGCTGTGGGGCACTGAAGGGCTTGGAGGGCTTTTGCAGCGTTACCTTTATGGATGGAGCCCTTCTGTGCTGGGAGCATCCTAAGTGCAGTGCACGCTGTGTCTGTGCATTCAGGTCCATTATGGCCCTGGCTGCAGCTAATGCACCTGGAGCAAATGGAACAGCTCTGAGATGCCTCTGCCTTGAAGCAGAGTGCCAGCAAATTCCCTTGACCTCCTCGAGGGCTAAGAAAAGCAGCAGGTGAAACCCGAGCAGTGATGCTTTCTGCAAAGCTGGTGGCCAGAAATACTGTGGCTGCTTTGAAGCCTAAACAGGAGCTGCCCGGGTGCCAGCTACAGGGGCTTGGGGACTGCCTGTGCTGCACTGCTCATCTCCCTCCTTCTGCCTGGTTCCTCAAAGCAATGTTGAGCTGTTGAGTTGGCTATTTTTTTCCCCCTCCCAAAATGCAAAATCAGAATTTTCCCCTCTGAAATCTGAAAGAAGAGGCACTGCAGTGGGAGACACGTGCCCCTGCTGATGGGAGGGATTTGCAGCCGTGTGATGGTGCTCCTGCCTGCTGCCGTGGGCTGAACCCTTACTCAGGAATTGCTCGGGTTGGAGTAGAGGATGTTGTTACAGCAGCAGGGCTGGCATAAGGGGACTGCCATGGGTCTGGGGGAGCTGCCCCCCGGAGGGCTCTGCCTGGAGATGCTCTCTGTAGGGCATCAGCCTTGGTTTGGGCACCCCGACCCTGCAGGAGTTGCACCCCTGGGGCTGAAGCACGCGGTGCTGGCTCACCCCAAGCTCATGCCTGGGTTTTTAACCAGATGAAAATGTTATTCTGGGTTAATGGAGACGTTGCAGAAACCACAGTTTGACAGCACGGGCTGTTATTATTAAACTCCTAAATAGTGTGGTCAGGCTGACAGGTGTAAATGGTTACGGGTTAAATTTCTGGAGGGTGATGTAAGGAGGGCAGAAGCAACTCTCTGGCATCAGTCTGGGCTGGGGAAGGATCCTGATGAGATCAGAGCAAACCAGAGGCTCCACGTGGCTCTGGCTGGGGCTCAGTGCTGGCCAGGCACTCGGTGCACAGTGCTTTGTGTGTGCAGGGGTTTCTCATGCAGCACTCCCTTGCAGAGCAGTGCATGGAGCTTTGCAAGTGCCCAGCACAGCATCTGCACACTGCCAGTCCATGCAAGTGTCCATGCACACATCCACCTTCATGGTCCTCCTTTCCCAAACTCAGGCTGGTGTGAGGCTGCTGGGGACGCTTGGTCCCGTGACAGGAAAGGACCCGAAGCACCAAAAAGTGAAAGAGCAGCCTCTGCCCTGTGCACGTGGGTGTGCTTTCACTGCCTCTTTTGGGAGCTGCAGTTTCCCTTGGTGTATAGATGGGGTTATGGGGGGAGGGGTGCACATGGCTCCTTATTGCAGGAGGCTGCTTTCTGCTAACTGTTGCTTTTTTCTTCTTCCCTTTTTTCAGACAGAAATTGCTAAAAGGCTGAATACCATTTTAGCACAGATTATGCCTTTTCTGTCACAAGAGGTAAGGTGTCCCTGGGCTCATTTCCCATGAGCAAAGCCCACAGGGGTGATGGGGTTCTGGGAGGAGGGGATCCCGGCTCGGTGCCTGCATGCCCTGACCCACACGCCTGCCTCTGTCCCTGCAGCACCAACAGCAAGTTGCACAGGCTGTTGAACGTGCCAAGCAAGTGACAATGACGGAGTTGAATGCTATCATCGGGGTACGTGGACTTCCCAATCTGCCTCTCACCGTGTGTATACCCCTTTTATTCCTATCATTTACCATAACCAGAGGCAACCCTGCGCTCGGGCGGCATCAGGGAGGGGCAGCACCCCAAATCTGACCGTCCCCAAATCCCTGATCTGGCACTGGGCGGTGCTGTGGCACCGCTCCCCAGTTATCCCCAGCACTGGTGCAGCACCGGGAGCCCCCAGCACCAAACACCCACATCTCCAGGCTGGGACTGTGCCGGGTTCCCACTCCCCGCAGCCCCCCAGCCCAGGTTTGCCTCTGTTGTACTGTTGATGTGAAATGTGGTGCACGCGTGGCAGAGCTGTTCCATGCATTGACCTTTACCCACTTGAGCGTTACGTGGATCTCGAGGGGTTTTAAGACTAATGGGTTTGAATATCTCTGTAAGTGATGTAACGGTGTCCTCAGCCATGCAGGAAGCCCACCCGTGCTGGATCTCCTTGCTGTGAATAGCAGATCCCTGATGGGCATCCCACCTTTGGCATTGGGTGTCTGTTTTTGAAGTCACTGATTTATTTATTTAATTTTTTTGCAGCAATGATTTGCACTTCTTTCTCCCTGTACAAGGAGACTTCTTCACCTGTTAGCATTTAACCCGTGCTGTTGCTTGGCTGTGGAGGGAGAACCTTGCTCCTTGCTGCTGCAGTGGGAGCACAGCTCTGTGCATCCTGCAGAACCCGGGGGCTCTGTAGGCATTATTCCATTTTAATGGGTGCTCTGAGCGGCTGTGGGTGGGAGGCTCTGCTTTGGTTCACTGCTCGAAGCTGTAGCATGGAGTCAAGGCAGCTAGAGGCAGATATTGGAATTCAATTAAGGTAAATGAGCGGGGCTCGTGACCCCCATTTTCAAGGTAATTGCTTCCTTGGATCAGCGCTAACACGAGTGTCACCCCGTTGTTAAGCAGCCAGCCATGTAATCGTTTTGCCTGACAAAGCTGCAAGAGGCAGGAATTGGGGGCAGCGAGGAGAATGTTGCAGCTGAGCATGACCCTGTGTGCCCAGAGCATCCCACAGCAATGGGCATCCCGTCCCGTGGGATTGGGCATGGCAATGGGCATCCCGTCCTGTTCTGGTGGGCATCCCATCCCACGCAGTTGGGTTTTGTTGGTGTAATCATGCTCCTGGTGATCTGACTGTCCAGGCAGGGCTATGGGGAGCCCAGTGCTGGGGATGCTGCAGGTGTTCTGCTAATCTGCACCAGTGCCCTGGTGCAGGTGCCAGAAAACAAATTGACTCATGAGAAAAAAATGCACCAAATCGTTCAAACCTTTTTTTCGCCCCTTTCGAGGTCAAGAACTGTTAATTTTATGCATCTAGGCCATTGTCTCACAGTTCCTCTGCTTCAGGCTTCTGTGAAATTGAGCCCTTGATTTGGTTATAGCTCTGGAAATGATTAGACTACTTTACTAAATTTAACGCAAGTGGTGAACTTAAGTGGTGAACCATTAAATCGGTTAACAAAGGCATGAAGCATGATGTACATAATCCAATTAAAAACACTCTACGTATGAGATACTCCTTGCCAGCCTTTCTCATCAACCGTAACCTCTTCATATCTTACCCATATTTGCCTGGTGCACGCCGAGAGACCCCGGGAGGGAAGCGCAAACGTCTCTGCGCCGTGCATCCATCGCGGCTCCTGGTGTGGGCTGGGATCTGATCCTCAGATGCTCTGGGAGCAGAATTTGGCCGTCTGCCTGCGCCGGGTTTGCAGCACCGTTGCAGCACTGTGCTGCAGAGTGGTGTCTCAGGATTTAAGTGCGGCGTTGAGTGCTGGCTGCAGGTGGAACGTCCAAGTGCGGAGCGCTGGTCTGCGTCTCCCCTCTATGTTGGGGCAGTGCTGGAAGAAGCAGCTTTGGCCTGGAAGCGGCGGGACCTCCACTGCCCTGCATCCCTACGATTCCCGTGGTGCTTTGTCAAGCAGAGCTGGGGCTTGCAGCCCTCCACCCCTGTCACCAGACACCCCTATGCAGTGCAGCTCCAGCTATGGGGCTGCAGCCTTGGGGATGGATTTTTGGGGATGGAGCTCCTGCAGCTGTGCCCGCGGGCCTGTTGGGAAATCCCCATTGATGCGGGGTTTGAAAACCACCTTTTCTTGGGATGAAAGGAAGCTGGAGAAGGGTGGCACTTCTCAACTGAGGAGCATCACCAGGGCCTGCTGCGTCCCACCGCTCTGCTGTGCAGGATTTCCCCATTCTGCATCCTCCAGGAGGGATCTGAGCCGCCAGCTCCGTGCTGCTCCTGCCTCTGCAGGGAGGGAAATGCCCTATGTGTGTTCTTTGGATCCATCACAGGATGTCGTGTCTTGGTGCTCATTTCCACACCTCTACTGATTCCACGCAGCTCAGTGAACCACAGGATGGATGTGTTTGCCTCTAGCTTAATTAAAAAGGAAGAACTGGTGTTTTTCTGCTCCATTGGAGGGAGAGGCTCAAAGGGCTGAGCCGTCCTTCTTGTGCCCCACCTGGGCTTGGCTGTAGCAGGGCTGTGAGCCCTGATGCTGCATGGAATCTGTCTGCTGTCCCATTGGGATGCTGTTGCTGCTCCCTGGATTTGGTCACCCTGTCCCTGCTTGTGCCCACTGAGGGGGAAGCGTTGGATCTCAGTGCTGGAAAGCCACCAGGGCTGCTCTCCAAGGGAATGCACAAGTACCATGGCCTCAGCCTTGCTGAAAGGGGTGGAAAGGCCGTGAGGTTGGGATTGGAAAGAGCTCATTGGTTTCAGTGGGAGGCTCAGCCCTGTTCCTCCTGTCCTGAGATGGGGAGGATCGATCCTGGGATGCTGGCACAATGGGAGCTCTGGGGATGGCTCTGGGCATTGGGTCCTGAGGATGATCCCCCCTCTGCACCATGGATGGAGCCAAAAAAATAAAAAGCTGCGTTGGAGAGGACCAAGTGATTTATGCTTTTTCTCTACCAGCACTGTGGATGTCTAATTGCCTTCTGGATCTGGCTTCTGCCACAGCTGAGACCTTTGCACTGCCCGGAAGGAGCTGTGTTTGCAGATCATGCATCTCCTCCCCCTGAAACTGCAACTGCTTGCTTTCCTGTCTGACTCCAGGTCACGTCCTGGGTGGATCTCCTCAGTGCCTCCCACGAGGGTGCAGGAGGTGGGCAGGGGTGGGTCACACCCTGCTCCATCCTCATCAGTGCCCCTCCCTGCTGCCTCATGGGGCTGCTCCAGAAGCCAGGAGCTGGGTGGGACCCGAGAGGTTGTCTCTGTGCAGGGGACTTTCTGGAGAGCTGCGTCCCATGCAGTGCTGCAGCAGGACCTGGGCGTTTGCAGTGTGCACAGAGCAGTGTGCAAGGATCTGAGTGTGTGCTTTCCTCCTGCACGATGGTGGCACAGCAGGTGCAGAAGTCTCCTTATGGGCCATTCTTTGCATTTCTCTGTTGCATTTTATGAGCTGTGGGCTGCATTCTCTGCACTGCCCCATGGGGCTGCACTGGGCTCACCCAGCACTGCAGAGCACGCAGTGATGCGTCCCCCAGCAGTGCCAGGTTGCTGGAAATATCCTTGATGTAAACACAGCCTCCTCCTTATAGAACCATGCATGTGGGGTTGTTTTGGTTTCTTGCTGTGGTTTGCACCAGGCTGCGCTGCAATGTGTTGCTGGGAGCCCTGTGCAATGGGATAAGGGCTGTCTCCTGCCTTCAGCTTGTGGAAGCTGTAGCACTGAGGGCAGCCTGCTACCCCTAACCCACTAACTCCATTTCAGTTTGTTTTCTTGGCACTTGAAACAGCAGCATGAGGGATGCTCTTCCTTTTTTTCCTTCCTCTTCCCACGCCATGCCCACCTCCAGCTGCAGAGGATGGGCTGTACCCATGGCTCCAGGACGCCTGGTTGGGGAAAGGGTCACCTGCAGTGTCAGCTGCTGGATGCTCTATGCAGAGCCATTTTCTGCATCCTGGGCGGTGTTTACACTTACGTTTATTTCCATTGAAAAGCCAAACGGTGCAAACCTGCAACAGCAGTTCAGATTGCCTAGAGTGAAGGATGACTCCCATGCTGTGACATACGTGTGCAGGGCACGCGGGGCCGCCCACCCCCCAGTCCTTCCTGCTAACCCAGTTCTTGCAGCCGGCCGAGCGGAGTGCGAGCGCACCTCGAGATGCAGCCCTGCCATCTCCGAGGCCGTGCCCTCTCCCCGCTCACCGCTGCTCTCATTGCAGCAGCAGCAGCTCCAGGCTCAGCACCTCTCCCACGCCGCCCATGGGCCCCCGGTTCAGCTGCCGCCGCACCCCTCTGGCCTGCAGCCCCCCGGCATCCCGCCCGTCACCGGCAGCAGTTCGGGGCTGCTGGCGCTTGGCGCGTTGGGCAGCCAGGCACACCTGGCCGTCAAGGATGAGAAGAACCACCACGACCTGGACCACAGAGGTGAGAGCTCGGCCTTGCCTTCTCCCGGGGCTGGGGTCACCCTGAGCAGCTCCGTACAGATGCCTGATAGTTGCAGTCTAGCTTGTTTTCTCTTGTTGTGAGTCATAAACGGGCCTTTTTGGAAGGGAAGAATGCTGCGTGGGTTCAGTGTTTCCATGCAAAGCCTTGTGTGTTAGCACAAGGAGATGTGGGCTCTTCCCATTAAGTCCCATTTGCCCGGTGGTCCCCCTGCAGCACTGGGTGCATTTGGGTTGTTCTCCCTGCAGAAGGAGAAAAAAAAATACCAGTAGCAATTATCCAGTGGCACGCATGTCTCTGTGTGGATGTGAATAACCCAGCAGTCCCCATGGATACCGGGCATCAGTGGCCAAACATCCCACAGCGGTGGGGGTGGGCACCACTGCCACGTTGGCGACTTTGTGGGTGAAGCCCTCAGCTCGGCGCCATCCCTGTGTGATTCTGTGCATCTCCTCCATGTGCTGTGCGTTCTGCAAGTGGAGGGGGAAAGGTGGTGGGTGAGGAGGGGGAATGGGGTGGAGGAAATGCTGGAGAGCCTGGATGTGTTGTGGGTGCAGGCAGCAGGCTGTGGTGGGGGCTGTGTGTCCAGCACCCGTTCTAACTGTGATTTTTCTCTTTTCCTTTTGCTTTGGCTCTGCCCTCTGACCCCAACCGCTGCCGACAGAGCGGGACTCGAGCGCGGTGAGTGCAGCACCTCCTCCCCATCCCAATAGCTCCGCTTCTGAGCGCCGTTTTGTTTCAGCTCTCCTTTGAACAAGCGAGCCCCAGGGTGTGAGCCCTGAGGGGTACCTTTGGGGCTGATCCGAGGGAAAAAAGGGAGAGAAACAGGCCAGGTTCCCCCGCTGGCTGTGCCGGGATGTCCCTCCTCCCCAAGCCCCAGATGTGTGGGGCCAGACCTCCCCCACTGCTCTGCTCGGAGGTCGGGTCGCGACTGAGTGAGCGCCGTGAATGGGCGCAGCCGAGTCAGCGCGGGTAAAAAGATCCGTTGGCGATTAAGAAAGCTATTTTATTCCTGATCACTCTTCTATTATCTTGGGTCATCTAATCTGCCGGGCTGGTTGGGGCTATTATGCCACGTTAAGTAGGACTCGGAAGGTCAAGCAGTTAACTAACCAGCTAAATAACCGCGGTCGAGGGCAGCCATCACCTCCAGCACTGATTGGATTCTTTAATTTATTTTTTCCCTCTGCCCCCAGCACGGCTCTCCCTCCATTGTAGTGGGGCTGGGGAGGGGGGATGCAGCCCATATCCCCCACCCCATCCACCGTGCTGTGGGGGGGAGAGGGGGGCTTTGAGAAGGCGTGGGGGAAGAAAAGCACTATTGAATGGGGAGAGGGGAATTGGGCATCATTAACCTGCCCACGTGGGGAGGGGGATGTGAAGGATGGGAGCGTTCCCAATCTATAAAATAAAACACGGGGTATTCCCCACGGAGGTTTAATGCGTGCGATAATCAGCGTTAGTCATTCATATTTTCCTAGCCTTGCCTGAGCAATAAAAAATATTTAGTTTCTTGGCGGCGCGCCAGCAGAAGGCTGAATGGATCGATGCCTCTAAATGCTTGACATGATTCTCTGGTAGCTGCGAGGTTTTTTCAGCATGACTGCCTGAGAAGAAAGACCCCGGTGTTATCCAAAGCTGCTTATTGGGTAGCGAGGAGAAACATGAACTGCTTTAGTTCTCCCTTTCAGACGGGGAAGAAAGGAGGGCGGAGGGGCTGAGGAAGGCGGCTGCTTAGCAGGGGCTGTGGGCTCTGTGATGAGATGCGGTGATGGCGACGGCCCCTGTGGCTGTCAGGAGCTCATTGCTGCACAGGGCCGGGCTTCCCGCAGCTCTGGCACAGCTCTGAGCTGCCATTTTTGCTCCATCCCCGCGTTGGGGCTGTTCTGGGGAAGGCAGCACGTCGGATGTGTCCCAGTGGGCGCACAGAGCTCTGCCCGCAGTGCTGGGCTGCAGGAAAAATGCTACTGATGTGTGCTTTTCCAGGTGGTTTTGAACGCCCTTTGGCTTGGCGGAGCTTGGCTTAATCGAGGCTGAGATAAAGCAGCTCCTGGCAGCTCTGCCCTTTGCTCCCCTAATAAAAACTGGGGATGGAGGTCACGGCTCTGCAAAGACTGCAGGCTCCCTGGGGCCGGGCTCCTCGTGCAGAGCCCCATTGGGCTGCAGCCTGGTGTTGGGTGCATCCGTGTTGGTTGCGTGGATGTGTGTCTGCGTTGGTTCAATGGGCTGATGATGCATCCATGTTGGGTAGATGGCACATCCGTTTTTACCAGCAGCCTCCATGGGTTGCAGCAGCTGCCAGGGAGCTGCTCTATTTCCTGCTGCTTCCTAGCAGGATTTTCTCTTTTCGACAACAGCTCCTTGCCTTTCTCTGCTTTGGTGGCAGACAGGCTCAGGTGCCCATAAGTAGCCCATCTTGAGGTGATGTTCAGTGAGGACGTGTGGTTTGGATCTTGCTCCACTGCTGGAGTTTTGCAGCCTAGCGGTGCTTTGAAGACTCAGTGCTGGGCAGAAAGCTGTTGGCCGTTCCCTTAAGTCCCATTCCCTCATGCATGCAACTCAGATGCATTTGCTGTTATTGCAGAATAACTCCGTTTCGCCCTCGGAAAGCCTGAGAGCCAGCGAGAAGCACCGGAGCTCCACAGACTACAGCATTGACTCCAAAAAGCGGAAAGCAGAGGAGAAGGACAGCATGAGCCGATATGTGAGCTATGGGGGGGTTCCTCGCAGCCCAGGGCTGCGAGCTGCCTGGGGATGTGCCTGCATAATGCAGCACGGGAGTGCCGTGGGTGGGCGCAGGCTGGGTGTGGGCAAAATCTTGCCAAGGCTGCCCTTGGGGTGCTGTAGGGGGATTCAGCTCTGTGGGAGCAGCCCCGGGGCTTGCAGCTCTGCAGGGCTGTAACTTCATGCTGTCTTTCAGGACAGCGATGGTGACAAAAGTGATGACCTCGTCGTTGACGTCTCCAATGAGGTGAGCCAAGGGGTGTTTTTGGTTTCACTGCTCTGGGAGTCCCACGGGTGTTGCTGGGGTACGAGTGCTTTCTCCTGCCTTGCAGGACCCTGCCACCCCCCGGGTCAGCCCGGCCCACTCCCCACCAGAGAACGGCCTGGACAAAGCTCGTGGGCTGAAGAAGGGGGATGCACCCAACAGCCCAGCCTCGGTTGCCTCCTCCAGCAGCACTCCCTCCTCCAAGACTAAAGACTTGGGCCACGTATGTGCCATGCTGTGCCCTGCCGCAAGGCTCTCCAAAAACCCTCTGGTAGCTGAGCTTCATCCTTGTTTGTTTGTTTTTCTGCATCCAGAATGACAAATCGTCAACGCCTGGACTCAAGTCCAACACTCCCACACCGAGGAATGATGCCCCAACCCCAGGGACAAGCAGCACCCCGGGGCTGAGGCCAATGCCCGGCAAGCCGAGTGGCATGGACCCACTGGGTGGGTAGCACAGCTTCCTGGGGGGTACATGGGACCTCACCCCGCTCAGGGTGCTGGGGATAGGGTGAACAGGGTGGCACACCTATCACCCCACGTCCCCTGATTGCATCCCTGACCTTCCCACAGCCTCAGCCCTGCGGACGCCCATCTCCATCGCGGGTTCCTACGCAGCCCCGTTTGCCATGATGGGGCACCACGAGATGAACGGCTCTCTGACCAGCCCTGGTGCCTATGCTGGCCTGCACAACATCCCCCCGCAGATGAGTGCTGCTGCCGCCGCCGCCGCTGCCTATGGCCGGTCGCCAATGGTGAGCTTTGGAGCTGTACGTAGCACTTTTAGCTCCTTTTCTCGCTCACGGTGGGAGTGGGGAGGGGGAGGTGGGGCTGTTTGGTGTTGGGATTGAAATAGGCTCCTCACCCCCCCATGGTTTGGGTTGGCTCAGGTTGCAGGATGCAGAAGTTGGGGTGCGCGCTGTTGGGATGCTGTGTGCCCCGTGGTGTTGATGGGCATCTTATGCTCTGCCCATGAGAATAGCTCCCTGCATGACCACCTTTCCCTGAGTGCTGATATGAAAAGTCCTTATTTGTATACTTCAAGATAAATCACGATCAAAATAGGAATTAAACTACTAGCAATTAATATAGAGATTGGGATCTTAGTTGCATTGGGGTACAGGCTGCCTGTCCCAGGGATGTGGGAGTGATGTGGGGAGGGTGAGCAAGTCCTGTGCTGACTCACGCAGGCCCAAAGTGCTGTTTCATTTCCAAATCCATCCCCTTTCTGGTGTGTGTGTGGGGGGGGGGGGAATAGTTTTAAGCTATTCAGCAGTAATATTGAGGACAAATGGGGGGTTGTGGGGTTGCGGGGCTCGTGAATGGGATGCTGATGGTTGCCATGCCCATCTCGTCCTCACATCTTTCAACAGGTTGGCTTCGACCCACACCCGCCCATGCGGGCCCCTGGGCTGCCCACCAGCCTGGCATCCATCCCCGGAGGAAAGCCGTAAGCACCGCTTGGTTTTTGTGGGGTTTCACCTGGGAGGGGACTGCCTGCACCGCTTGGGGTTGGCCAAGCAGTGGTGGCCTCAATGCCACCTGCACGCTGCGTTTGCAGCAGGGCTGTTTTAGGGGCTCACCTCTGTGTTTTCCCCCTACTTTGACAGAGCTTACTCGTTTCATGTCAGCGCTGACGGGCAGATGCAGCCGGTCCCCTTTCCCCACGACGCCCTGGCTGGCCCTGGCATCCCCCGGCACGCGCGGCAGATCAACACGCTGAGCCATGGTGAGGTGGTGTGTGCCGTCACCATCAGCAACCCCACCCGGCACGTGTACACAGGGGGCAAGGGCTGCGTGAAGATCTGGGACATCAGCCAGCCGGGCAGCAAGAGCCCCATCTCTCAGCTGGACTGCCTGGTAAGGAGTGGGGTGGGAGGACCTGCAGTGCGTGTGTGAGCTCAGGAGTGATTGAGAGCCTTTGTAGGGCTGTTGTAGCGGCCTTCTTAGAGCCCTCGTATGGCTGCCTAGGTTGGAAAAGCCCTGATGTCATCATGTCCAACGGTTGTCCCACATCCACCAGGTCTACCACTAAACCATACCCTTACGTGCAACGTCTGTGCGCCGTTTAAATGCCTCCAGGAATGGGGACTCAGCTGCCTCTCTGTGCAGCCAGTTCTAAGCCTTTGTGATCATTGTCATGAATAAATTCTCCCTAATATCCAAACTAAACCTTCCTCTGCTGCAACTTGAGGGCATTCCTCTGGCTTGGGGGAAAAGAAAAGAGACCAACCTGCCTTGCTGCAGCCTCCTTCAAGGTTTTTGTAGGGAGCAGTAAGCTCTCCCTTGAGGCTTCCCTAGGCTGACTACCCCAGGTTCCTCCCTGGTCCTGCTGGCCACCCTGTATTTTATACAAGCCATCCCTATGCTTTCTCTGCCTGCCCCCTTTGCACTAACAGCATCTCCACGTCTCTTCCTCCTGCAGAACAGGGATAACTACATCCGCTCCTGCAAGCTGCTTCCCGACGGCCGCACGCTGATCGTTGGGGGGGAGGCCAGCACGCTCACCATTTGGGACCTGGCTTCCCCCACACCCCGCATCAAGGCTGAGCTCACCTCCTCAGCGCCCGCCTGCTATGCGTTGGCCATCAGCCCCGATGCCAAAGTCTGCTTCTCCTGCTGCAGCGACGGCAACATCGCCGTGTGGGACCTGCACAACCAGACCCTGGTCAGGTGAGTGGGAGGTTCCCAGCGTGCTTGGGGTGGGGGGTGCCACAGAGGTGCCACCCGAGTGTTGGTGCACGTGGTGATGCTCTCCTGGTGGTGCTGCTGCAGCGGAGGAGAACCGTGAGCAGACAAACACCAAGCGCAGTGTGTTCATAGCATCCACCTTTGGTGTTACCTGTGTGGGTGTGCCATGCATTTTGCCATTCTAGATGTGAATTGTTCTTTTTTTTCCCCTTTGAAGGCAATTCCAAGGCCACACAGATGGTGCCAGCTGCATAGACATCTCACACGATGGTACGAAGCTGTGGACAGGGGGACTGGACAACACGGTGCGCTCCTGGGACCTGCGGGAAGGGCGACAGCTGCAGCAGCACGACTTCACCTCCCAGGTGGGCACAGGACTCTCAGGAAGGTCTTGGCCTCATGCAGCCCTTGTGGAGGGGTTGTCCATCAGTGGGCCAGGTTGCAGGAGCTCAGTGTGGTGATGGAGCTCTTCTTGCTGGATGGGTGCCCTGCACACCCCTGCCTGGCTGTGTGTGCACATGCTCCAGGTGCCCTGGGTGCAGTGCAGGAGTATTTGAGGCAGTAAGGGTCTCTGGTTCTGGATTTAGCCCCACTTTTGTTGCCTTTTCATGTGGTGCAAGATTGGGCTGCTATTAAGAAAGCAATGCTTGCATAGGGTACCACGTGGCATTGCAAAGCTGGATGTCCTTGTGGTTTCCAGCCCATAGCAGCCACAACTTGGAGCTCTGTCAGCCTTGCTGTCTTCCCTGAGGTTTCCTATTCTGGATGTGCCAGCTGTGCTGCCTTCCCTTGGCTCCCCATGTTACAGCATCAGAAATGGCAAGGGGATGTTTAAGAGGACAGGGCCACGTCCCTTCCAGCCTGCCAGGCTGCTGCTCCTCAGACTCGCTGACATTGCTGTCAGCTCTGTGGGCACAGCCGCCCCATTAAAACCAAACAGAGGGATGCAGGCTTTGGGTTTGTGCTGGAGTCCATGCACAGGTGCAGCTGTGCATATAATTGCACCAAGGTGAAGGAAGAGCTGGCAGTGAATGCTCTCCCCCTCTCCCCTGCCCAGCTGGGTTCTCCCAGTGTCAGATCCTGGTGTCAGGGCTTGGGATGCTGCGGGGCCGTGTTTGCTTGCAGGTGCCAACCTGTTCTGTGCCCCCCAGATCTTCTCACTGGGGTATTGCCCCACGGGCGAGTGGCTGGCAGTGGGCATGGAGAGCAGCAACGTGGAAGTGCTGCACCACACCAAGCCTGATAAGTACCAGCTGCACCTGCACGAGAGCTGCGTCCTCTCCCTCAAGTTCGCCTACTGCGGTGAGTGTTGGCAGTGCTGCGGCATTACTGCTGTGCAGCAGTGCTGCCCTGCCCACCCATGGGAACCACGTGGGGTGAGGGGGGGTGTGCAGAGGGGTGGGCACCTCCAGAAAACCTCCTGCTTTTCCAATGGCTCCAATTCTCCAAAATGCCCAAACTGTGCAATGTGAGCTTGGGGCAGGGAGCTGTGTGGCCACCTGGCTCTGCTCGCCGCGTTGGGTGCTGATGCCATTCCTGTGTCTGCAGGCAAATGGTTCGTGAGCACGGGGAAGGACAACCTGCTCAACGCATGGAGGACGCCCTATGGGGCAAGCATCTTCCAGGTAGGGGCTGCTTTGCTGGGGGCACGGGGGCCGCCTGGTTCTTACAGCACCATCAAGAAACCACACTGATCCATTTCCTATTTTTTTGTTGTTGTTGTTCCTCCCCGTTTCCATCTTTTCTCCCCATTCCTCCGCTCTCAGTCCAAGGAATCCTCGTCGGTCTTAAGCTGCGACATTTCAGCAGATGACAAATACATCGTCACGGGCTCTGGGGACAAGAAGGCCACAGTCTACGAGGTCATCTACTAAGGGGACGCAGTGGTGGTGCCGCAGGCTCGGCTCTGGAGCAGCGCTCGGGGCAGCACTGGGATGGGATCGCTCGCTGGAGCTGCACCTCTGTGCCCGCCCGGCACCCGCATGGATTTATTTGGAGGTCTGCAAACATGGCACACACGTCGAAGCCCTGAACGAATTTTTGGTTTGGTTTTAGGGTTTTGGGCTATTTTTTTTTTCCCTTTTTTTTTTTGTCTTTTTAATTTTTTTTTATTTTTTTGGTTTCCTGGTTCTTTCCGTCTGCGCTTTGGTGGCACTATAAAGGACTTATTTTTTATCGTGACTTTTTTTTTTTCCCCTTTTGGTGCATCCCGCATTAAGACTTGTGAAAATTGTAAATACCGGACTAGTACATAGCATGGGAAGGGTGGGGGACCCTCCCGGTACACTAGGTGTGTATTTTCGTCTGCTGTAATTGTATTCCACTGATGGTTTTGGTGGTGGCAATTTTTATTATTATTATTTTTTTTTTTTCCTCCCCACCTCCCTCCCTTCCTCCTCCCCCATTGCATCCATTTGGGATGCGACCCCGGACGTGCAGCGCGTAACCGGACTGAGCAAAGTGTCCTCTGGTGAAGTCGTTCCTCCTGTGGTCCCCGTGCGTTGTTTGGTGGTGTGTGTGCGGACGCTGTCGGGGCTGTGCTGAGCTCGGTCGGATCCCCGGCTGCTGCCGGACGTCGGCGACACAATCACGTTTTTATATGGATTTTTTTTTTCTTTTTTTTTTTTTTTTGTGCTCGTATGTTTGAAGAAAAAGGGGAAGCCCACGATCCGGGAATCATCCGCTCGAGCCCTTCTTGGTCTTCGGACATAAAGCAACGAGGAGTGATTTCAAAGAAAGCATAGTAAAATTCAGCTCAGGGAGCCACGAAAGATAATAGCAACTTAATGTGTTTTGTATTCAAATGAAAGTAAAGAATTAGAATTGATAACCTTTAAAATACAGTTTTTTTAAAGCAAAGTTGACTAACAAGTAGGGTTTGTGTGTGGTGGGGGGAAGGGGCTTGGGTAGGGTCCTGTGGCTGTATGGGCTCGTGGCTGCTGGTCTGTAGGTCCCGAAGAAGCAACACCCATCCCCACACAAGCCTGCATTGCAGCATTTTGTACTAAAGGGTTTAAAAAAGAACAAGAAAACGGGAAATAAAAGTATTTGTGTAGCAGAAGCGCTCACCCTGTATTGTAGCATATGGAAGAGGATTTTGATACTACGTTTTTTATGGATTATTTTTTAATTGTTTCCCTCCCCCACCCCGTCATTGTAACCCAGTGGAGGACTGAGGAGGGTGATGGTGATGTGGGCACCGCTGTGGCTGCTGGGGAGATGTGCTGGGGCAGAGAGAGGAGCTATGGTGGGAAATGGCCTTTCCCCTTCGGAATGGTGCTTCTGAGCTTTTTTGCCTTTTTCTGTGCAAAACCCAAGGGATGAACCCAGGCTGATGGGTGGCTGCCCTGCGGGGCTCCTTGGTGTGTGCCCAGGTTGAGGAGCTGGGATTGATCTGTGCGCTCATTACCCAGTGAGGAAAAGGGAGAAATGCTTTTTAAAACTGCATCGGAGGAATGGTTTGAAGGGGGGTTGGGCTGAGCTAAAGGACTGCACAGCCCTATTCTGCAGCTCTGGGTGCTGTGCCGGGCTGCACTCACAGCCCTATGGAGCATCCTCTGCTCTGTAGCACTGGAAAGGCTCGGAGCACCCCTGGGCTGTGCCTCTAGACCAGGCTTTGCCTGCGTTGGTGCTTTGTTTTCCTCCAGCCCCCCTGAGGAACTGTGCATAGCGGAGCTGGCGGCGGGGCGCTGAATCAGACCTCTCCACTTGACACCAAAGTATGTAGCAGAACCTGTACAGCTGTTAATAACTACAACTGGCTTTTGTATAAAAGGAGAGAGAGAGAAAAAAAAAAGAATAAAAAGTCAATGTAACGAAGCTCAAATGGAGGCACGGTGTCTATAAACCATTTCATCTTTGTTGTTAGTAAAAGCAACGAGCGTAGCAAGAAGCTGTCCTACATGGGGGGCATGGGGTGCGGGGCCCTTCTGGGCAGACCCATCCCCAGGATGCAGCTCCTGGGTGCTGCAGGATGATGCCACCGCCCTGTGGATTTCAGCTGGAGAACGAACCATGCAGTGGAATGCAGACCCCCAGCAGTCAACTCATCCGTGTCCCCATGCTGGATGCTTTGCTCGCTGCTGTTCCCTGAGGATGCAGCGTGGCACTGCCTGCTTTGCTGGGAGCTGAGCGAAGCCACAACCCCAACTTGGCTGTTTCCTTCTCACAACGAACCTGGAGCCATCACTGTGACCATCTTCACCACAATGGGGATTGTCTTCTGCTGTTGGGTGACACGTCAGCATGGTGCCACTGCCGGGTGATGCTTGGGGACGGTGCCACCTCTGCACTCCGAACCCACCCAGCGCCGACATCGCTGTTCCTCTGCCTCCCAACACGGTGCCCGACAGCCCCAGCACATCCTGTGAAGCAGGACATATGCAGCGTCCTGCGGGGCTCTCCCTGTGATGGATTGAACATGACAGAGCCTGCTGCGAGGGAGAAATAAAAAGCCGGAGCTGCACTCTAACCGCTCGGCTTCTCGATAATGTACAGCAGTAAATGGTTATGAGTGCATTTAAATCTGATTTGAAGCTGGGCGGAATGAGGGGCTGGCACGGGGGACCATTAAAAGATGAAAATTGCAAGAAATCTTTTGTTGTAAGGTTTGGGAGTGCACAGAGCTGGAGGGTTTTGCCCGGCCCGGGGGCACCCAGCACTGCTCGCAGCAGTCCCAGCCCACTGCTGCCCTTTGCAATTAATTGGGTTTGACTACAACCTTCCCAAAGTGCTGACAGAGGCGGTGTTGGAGCCACGCACAGCCTCTCTGATTTCCATTTGCGTTATCAGCAAGGCGCTGGATGTGCATATGTTATAATTAAAGCATCTCCAGCCTCGCACACTAATTTTTTTTTTAGTATTATAAATTCATAAGGGCTCTTTATATATATATTTATTATATATATATTTTGATGCTTGATTGCTGACACTGCTCTGACTTCTGCCTACAGGCAGATCCACGTGCCAGGCTGGTGCAGTGGGCACCATGGAATGCTCGAGGCCCCAGCACACAGCACCTTTTGGGTTGTCTTCTGTGCTTTCCCTGCTTTTGTCCTTTTGTGAGCAGTGCTCTCATGCACGAGGAGTGGCTCCGTGCAGAGCATCCCACTGAGCTGATACCCTGCCCCATGTCCCGTGGGTCCCTCCAGCCATGGTGCATTTGCTGGCATCGGCTGCTCCCTCAGGCTCTGTGTCTGGGTGCTGCTCCTCCTCCCCGCCTGGCTTTCTGGGGCAGCCGTCAGCTGAAATTACCCTTTGAGTAACCAATAATTAGCAAATTACAGTGTTTAGGGCCTGGCACTGGGGCAGAGGTTGTTAGATTGCCTTCAAAAATACAATGAAGGAAATAAGTGGGGTGGCTCTCAGCTGCCGCCCAGCCGCACCCCTGGCTGGCACCCACTGTGTCACAGCCCCGTGCAGATGGGGTGCCCATGTGTGCCCTGTCCTGGTGGGGCTGGGAGGTGGCTGGGAACGGCCACCCCATGGGAACGTGGCTTTTCCCATGCTGTGTGTTGTCCCTGAAGGGCAGTAGTGGGTGTTGCTGCAGGTGTAGCAAAGCTGTTCTGTGGCGAGCTGTGCCACGCCATGCCATGCTGTCCCATCCCACGCAGTTCCACCCATTCCAAGCTGTGCCACCCTGTGCCATCCCATACCATGAGTTGTGTTGTTGTGCCGTGCCATGTTGTGCCTTCCTGTGCAATGTGATGCTATGCTATGCTGTGCCATGCCACCCCGTGCTGTGACAAGCTGTGCCATGCCATGCTGTTTTCCTCCACTGTGCTATGCTATACCATACCATGCCATTTTCTTCCACCCTATTCAGTGTCATGCAGTGCCATCCCATGCTTTGATGAACTGTGCTGTGCCATGCCATGCCATCCCATGCTCCTTCATCCTATCACATTCCATGCCATCCCATGCTGTTCCATTTCATTCCATGCAGTGCCATATTACAAAGCATGACATATCATAGTCTGCTATCCCATGCCATGAGGAGTTGTGTCATGCTGTGCCATATTGTGCCTTCCAGGGCTGTTCCATGCCATGCTGTGCAGGGCTGTGCCACCCCGTGCTGTGATGAGCCATGCCGTGCCATGCTGTTTTCCTGTGCTGTGCTATGCCATGCCATGCTGCGCCTTCTCATGCCATGCTGTGCTGCGCTGTCTCATGCAGTAATGAACCACACTGTGCCATATTGTGCCTTCCAGGGCTGTTCCATGCCATGCTGCGCCATGTCAAGCTGCGCTCTGTGCTCCCATGCCACACAGTGCCATGCCATGCTCCCCCCAGTGCAAACAGCCCACTGCAGGCTGCGCTCCCTAGGATGTGCCCGTGCCATCTGCACCGTGCTGTTCTCTTTACGGGGTGCCCCTTTCTGTCTCCCTGGGGACGAGCTGGGGTGCCCATGGCGAGCACACATTGCAGCCTGCAGCCAGCAGGACCCCAGCGTGCCCCCACACACCGCACTGCTGTGGCACTCATGCCATCCCCCACTGCCGACTCTGGGAACAGATGGCAGGAGGAGGCTCTGGGACACCATCAGCTGTTGTTATCGCTAGCTGATGACACGGAGTGTAAATTCTGTTGGCACTACTCCCTTCGTCTGTTCTGCCTCTACATCCCACCAGTTTTAATTACTGTAATTGAGTTATAATGAATGATTGTGCATTACCATTGTCTGTAATGTGGCAGGGAGTATTCTGTTCGTTACACACTCCATCTAACAACATGCCCCTCCTCGTTGCTTTGTTTATCTGGTTGAAGGGTGTCATCACTTCAAATGGCACAGATAAAGCAGTGCTCAGAGTGGCTGCGTTGTGATGTTTATCGGTTTTCTGTTCTCAGGCGCCGGCGCTTTGCTGAATCCCGGTGGAAAACGGCAGAAAGAGATAAAAACTCATTTGGCTTTAATCCCTCATGGAAAGAAAAACAATGAAAAAAGGCAACAACAACAACAACACAAACCGCCACCACAACACAAAGCCCTGCAGAGCTTCAGCCCGATGGGAAGCCAGTGGTACTGGTTGGCATTGGGTGGCACCAGTTGGCAGTGAGCGGCACTGGTTGGCACTGATTGGCACTGGCTGCCACTGGTTGGGACTGGTTGGCACTAATTGGTACTGGTTGGCACTGACTGGGACTGGTTGGCACTGATTGGCACTGGTTGGCATTGAGTGGCACCGGTTGGCACTAGCTGACACTAATTGTTACTGGTTGGCAATGGTTGGTACTGGTTGGCAATGGTGAGGAAGGCAGCTTGGGGGGTTGGAGCCACACTCAGTGGCACGGAGCAGTGAGCACAGCTCTGCACAGCGCTCCAGTGGGGACCTTTTCATTTCCGAGGTAGAGGCCAAGAGCACATTAATTTTTCAATGCATTCTGAGAGCGCCCATCGTGTTCTTGGCTCTAAGAGGATAATAACTCGCTCGCGAGCACCTCGTATTTCTTGTAGGCTGCTGCTGGCTTCGGAGAAAAGTGTTGTGTGAGCACTTTTGTAAAAGACTTGGCCCCATCCACACGCAGTCAGTAAATGGCTGAGCTAAATAACACATTGTTAGCAATAGGAGCATTTGATAGTTTTAAACCTTTTCTTTCTTCTTTTTTTTTTTTCCTTTTTTTTTTTTTTTTTTTTTCCTTTCCAAGGTAAATTCCAGCGGGATCAACACTACACAGGAATTGCCCTGGAGGAAGCTGGCTGTTCACCAATTCATCTTGTAAAAGAGATTCATTATTACTGTTGAGCTGAGATGAAACAATCCTCTGGAATTAACCAGCCTCATTTTTGACCAGCCGATGTTTTGCCACAATGAACGTTTTTATTGTCACACATAAAAGCCAGCCCCTAACAGCCGGGGGGAGGAGATGGGTGGATGATAAAGCTGGGGTGTGCTGGGCTGCACGTGCACACACACACACATACACACACATACATATGCACACACACACACACACCTGAGGATGCTGTGGCCATTACCAAATTCTGCACTGAACGCCCCAGAGCAGCCACACAGTGCCATTATCCCATTGGCTTAGAATCATGGAAGTATAAAAAGGTTGGCA